CCCACCCTTTTCCCCTCCCCCAAAAAAGCCAAAATCACAATTAGTCCAATTAGTGTTGCTCATGAAAGATATTTAGTTATTTCTTAAATAGGTATTGGCGTTTCAACATTTTCTATAGGCTCACTCTATAAGTAAGAAATGGCAAGATGTGGACCAAGACTTCACCAATGTTTTAGGAAAGAAAATTATGAAAGAAATGTAAAAGTAAGCCAAAGATAAACATTTGGCAGTTAAAATCCATGGAACTATGGGTCTCTTTCCTTTCCCAAATATATATCATAAATTTGAGAATAAGTCATGGAATGGTAGGTTAGAAAGTTAAAGAAAAAGCAAACTACATAAAGTAAAGCATTGATGGCAGATACCGTTTTATCCCAAAGGAAGATCTGTGTGAATGTAAATGCTCCAGGAAAGTAAATGCTCAGCATGGTTTGGTTTATAAAATTAAAGGGACCACTGACTGGATCATTTGGAAGCATGGTAGTTGTTGTGTTTGATGAGATTACTCCTGCTAGCTCCAGAGAAGGAGCTTTGCCCTTCCCTATTCCATTTCTTTCTCTTCTATTTCTCTCTCTGTAAATATAGCAGTTTGAGGTTAGGGTCTGGCACCTATTTTTCTTGGAGAGAGTCCCCAAGATTGTCTTGGAGATTATGATGTAAACATTGCAAGTCTAGTTGTCTGTGATATACATACTGAATGAAGAAGTTAGAGTTTCCTCGGTTTTCAGTTAAGATACTTTTGATGACAGCAGACTTGACTCCATGTCTATAGCTCCACATCTGTGGACACCACAGCCACAACTTGTGCCAAACCACACATCAAGTCCCGTCATGCTTGTGATGACCATCTCTGTTCTGAACATGGACAGATTGGGAAGTAAGATCTTGTCGCCTCAATAGTGTAGTACAATAACTGGCTTATATTGCCTGGATCCTTACTACTCTGGACATGATTTAAAGTATATGTAAAGATACATCTATATGCTCGTATTTTTTTCCTCCCTGCTTGTGTTCCTAATTTCATTCTGTAACGAATATGGATTTTATTTCTAATAAATGTGTGTTTTGCCGGGCAGTGGTGGATCATACCTTTAATCCCAGCACTTGGGAGGCAGAGGCAGAGAGATCTCATGACTAGTCTGGTCTACAGAGTGTAACTCTCTCACTCTAGGACAGTTAGGACTACATAGAGAAACTCTGTCTCAAAAAAACAACAATCAGGAAAAAAATGTGTGTTTTGTGGTTTTTTTATTTTTTTTAAGTATTAATTGAAGTGTGGAAGGTGTGTAGGAAGTTAGTGGACTTGGTGCTGTGAGAGGCAGGTCATACAGGAGAGGCCTCAGGTACAGCCCTGCGACAGCACCACTGTAGCTTCCCCTTTCTTCAGCTCAGGTCTGCCTTTTGTCTCCTTAGAGGAGTTTCACAAGCTTTTGAACTATGTCTGGGTGGGTTTGCATGAGGATGGAACTAGAAAGTTTTTTGCTGGACTTGGAGAGATAAATTTGATGAAATTGCTTTGTATGAAAGTTGTCTGTGTGTCAGCACATCTCCAAACATAGGAAGGTCTGTTTTTGACTTTTCATGAGGGAAGAGAGTGGGCTTTGTGACTCACTTGTAGACATAATAAGACAAAGCCCCAGCATCTTCTTTCCAAGAGGTTTGGTAAAGGAAATTGTTTCTGTTCATTTTTATGTAAAAACTGTTTACTCTTTATTCCTAGATTAGAAATGATACTTGCCAGATTTGATGAAGTTCAAAGTTCCGGTGGTATGATTCTGAGTGTCTGCAAAGGTAAGAGTAATTAAGTTTTCCAGTTCTTAAACATTTCTGAGGTGACTTAGTAAAGTGTTAGATACTAAGTTTGTTTTCAAGCCAAGTATGCATCTCTCATTTCAAAAGCATTGTTTTTATAGCTTGTAAACTTAGCTAAGGTATAGCAGTGGACTCTTCTATCCTGGATCTGCACGTCTCTGAGTCGCTGGAGTTGTGGAGATTTCATAATGAGATTGTAGTACAAAGGGATAATGTTTCTGGCCTTACTTTTTGTCTTTGTACTTGAAGGTTGATAACCCTCTTGTGCTTGTTCCACGTGTGTAATGTGTTCTTATAGTCAAAGTAATTATTTTATCTTGCTGCCTTTAGTAGACACTGTGGGGCAGTTGGCCCTCTTCCCCAGTGTGCCGAGTCTGAGTGACAGTGCTGGTCAAGAAACAATGGGAATTGTGTACAGTGGTCATCTTTGTCTGCTGAAGTAGAATGAGTTTAGGGAGGTTTGTAATTAGTGTCTGTGTCCACGGATAACTTGGCATTTGATTTGTGATTCCTTTCTTTTTTATAATGTTGATAGTTGTGTTGATAATCTTATCAAATAGCATTAACTTATTCATTAGCCACATATGTGAAGAATATATTCTGTTCCTAAAGATGATACTTTTTTTCCTCAAGTGGGAAAGCAGCTTCACATTAGACAGTGGGTTAGCTTGACAGAGTAAATGATGTTGGAGGAAAGTTTTGTTGTATGTATGATGTTAATGCCATATAATAGGAAAACTAGCTAACATATCATTTAGGCCTTTTCTCTCTGTGTTCACTTGAGGTCAGGCTTGGTTGTATTGTAGGGAGTCGGGTAGGGTGACAATTTGGTGTTATGAAGGTTGTGTGTACTTTAATTTAAACTTAGATTCCAAGCACACATTGACTTCCTTGCTGCCAGTTCTCACTCAGACAGCTGTTTCTCACATCTCTTCTTTGAATAGAAGGTGTCTAAGAACGGCATCCTGACTGCTCTAGTCGTTATCCTTGTTGATGTCTGTAGGAACCAGAACATCAGGAAAAGGAAGAAGTGTTAAATTGTATAGCTTGGGATTTTCATAGCATCCTTGTGTGTTCCACACTGTTTGCTTATAACTAAGGACATGTCTAGGTTATCTCAAATATACATCATTTTTATATAAGAAAGACTTGAGCATCCTTAGATTCCTGGAACCAATCCCGTTATTATGGAGGGATGACTGTACTATGTTGTGCTGTTTTTTAAAGGAAATATCAATTGTTCAATTTTACCAATGACGACTCAGGAGCCACATGCTGGGATAAAAGCCTGTTACCTCAAGAGAGGCAGAGAAGGCACCCAGCTGATCTTCCTCCTCAGCTGATGTCCTACCAGGAATGACCCTCTCATGACATCTCAAAAAACCTTCTTCAAACTGAATGTCCCTCCCTTCTACTTCCTGTGTGTCTCTCTATTGGTCCTCTTGACTCCCTCTTACTCTATGTCTTTCTCTTTTCTTTTTTTAAGATTTATTTATTTCATGTATGTGAGTACACTTTCATTGTCTTCAGACACACCAGAAGAAGACATCAGATCCCATTACAGATGGTTGTGAGCTACCATGTGGTTGCTAGGAATTGAACTCAGGACCTCTGGAAGAGCAGTCAGTGCTCTTAACCTCTGAGCCATCTCTCCAGGCCTATGTGTTTTCTTAATAATCTGATATTCACTTCCTGTGCACTGGTTGCTTGCTCCAATTCTAGACTTATGGTTGACTTTATTCAATCCTGTTTATAAATATTCAAACAGAAAGCTCTTGGATTAAAGATGTGTGCTAAGGTTGAACCACACCACAATTAAAAACAATTTTTGCCAGTAAATAACACAATCTTGGGGTTCACAGTGTGATCAAATATCTTGGAACACAAAATGCCACTTGCTTAGCTCTAATTCTTGGCAAAGAGTTGATGGCAGTGAGGAGTCTGTGTCAGAACAGTAGTGGCTCCTGCTGGGCCTGGGCTGTGCGGTCTGCAAGCATGAGGATGGTCTATGTCCTGGGTAGTCAGAGAACACCTGGTTCTGATGGAGCATGGACAGAGTACATTAAACAGCACTATAGCACTCCAGTGACGCACGTGGCAGTCACATCCTCTCTGACACACCAGTCCTCAGTGTCTAAAAATGGGTTGCCCCACGTTGTTATCTCTAGGTTGGTAGCAGCCTTCTGAGTCTCTGGTAGAGCAGGGTCGGTGTGAATTGGGTGAAATAAGAACTACCAGGTATCTGAGTTCCCCTCGTCTCTCTTCCCATGTTCCCTTGGTATGTGAAGGTTGGAGCAGTTGACTTCCTAAGCCTGGCACACCTGCCCGCCATAGGTTACGTGGGATGTTGAGGTTCTTTACTGAGCAGCATTTTCTGATGAGCGGGTGGGGTTAATAGAAGCCCCTGTGTGAGGGGCAATTTTGCACCCAGTGTTTAAATAGTTGACTTGAATGCATTGAATGCAGCAGAGAGGGGACTAATGCTCTCGGAAGGCTTTGATGACTTATGGGGGGGGTTAAAGGGAGGGAGAGAGAGAGCGAGCGAGCATGTATGTACACGTGCTGGTTCAAACTCAGAGCCTTGTGCATAACAGGAAAGTACTCAACCACTGAGCTACTTCTTTAGACCTATACTTTGGGGTTTTCATTGTTAAGATTTATTTTATGTATATGAGTGTTTTCCCTGCTTATATATGTGAGTACCACATACATGTGCAGCCCACAGAGGCCAGACAAGGTCATCAGAGCCCCTGAAACTTGAGTTGGCATGTGGGTGCTGGAAACAACCAGAATCCTCTGCAAGAGCAGCAAGCACTCTACACTTCTGAGTCAGCTCTCCCGTACTTTAGGTTTTAAAAAAGGACCTCAGAGTAGGGACAGGAGAGTCAGGAGTTAGTTCATGATGAGATAATCCTGAGCTATGTAAAACTTCATCCCAAAAATAAACAAAAAACCAACTTTCTTATTTGAATCATTTTAAAATTCACTGATAAATTCTAGGAGGACTTACACTTGTTAAGAAAACTTGTTAACTGGACCTGGGGACTGGAGAGAAGGCTTAGCAATGGCTTAGCAGTTAATTACTTGCTACTTTTTCAGAGGACCTGAATTTGATGCTCATCACCCATACCAGGTGGCTTACAACTGCCTGTAACTCAAGTTCTAGACTGTAGAATGTAGACTGGATCTGACACTCTCTTCAGGACTCCTTGGACACTGCACCTGTAAATCCCCACTGAGGAACACGTACATATAATATAAAAAAATAAATTTAAATGAGTAAATAAATGAGTGAACCTCTGTCTGTCTGTCTCCTCTCTCTCTCTCTCTCTCTCTCTCTCTCTCTCTCTCTCTCTCTCCCTCCCTCCCTCCCTCCCTCCCTCCCTCCCTCCCTCTCCCTCCCTTCCCCTCCCTCTCTCCTTCCTCTACCCCCCCTCACTAACCTATGCCAGGCCAGGCCAAAGACTAGCAAGTTCTGTGCTGACAATTCCCAAATATAGTTGTTGCTGTTGTTCATCTCTTCTTTCCACCTTTGGAAGTCTGTGGTCTGAATGACATTGCTGTTTGGATTTCAGGTTTGTCAGGTCCAGAAACAGCCCTATTTGTGTTCTGCTTCATGTGTTCTTGCTCTCCCCGCAGTCTCTCATACCTCCCTCTTCCCTCCCTATACATCCCTGCCTGCACCCCCCCCCCCCCATACCTTATAGCTTCTCTCATGGCCCTGGCTAGCCTCTAGCTCTTTGTAGAAGAGGATAACCTTGGACTTGAACTTCACATGTTTTAGAATCACAGGCATGTGCCCAGTCCTGGCTCTGTTCTTTTCTAACTTGTCTCTTCCCTAGTTCCCATAGTTTCAGTCAGTTGTCCACAAGGTACAGTGTGACTTGATTTCCCTTTCTCACTAATCAGTCGTTTCTAACTTTGATACATGTCCTGCTTGGTTGTTTTTATGCCGTCACTATCAATACTTTAGGTCTCCTTTAGCGTTTCCTCGAACCACTGTAGGAGACTTATAGTCTGTGACAAACATACATAGTGTGGTAACAGTTTGCAGTGGGAAAAATACAGACAGGTCTTCCTTGTTGGTGAAATTTGCATTTTTCCTAAAGACCCTGCTGCCAAGTGGGAAATCATTAAATGAAAAAAAAATTCCACTTATATTAATGAGAAAAATTATGACACATTTTACTCTAACTCAGGATACTTGAATAATTTGTATGTGATACACACACACATGTATATATGTATGTATATGTATGTGTATGAATATATGTATGTATGTGTGTATGTGTTAGTTTGTAACTCTTGGAGAAGTCCACTCCCATGCTTTCAAGTGTGTCTTTCTTCCCAAGCAACTTTTTCTGTCTAGTAACACTTCTGTTTTAAAATCTATCTTTAAACTTCCGTAAAGATTTCAACTCTGCTTCATTTTATATATACCCCAACTGATGGTGCAGGCTGCCATCTCAGCTCCTTGTGAGGCCGAGGGAGCAGGGGCTCAAGGTCAGGGCTTGTCTGGAAAATGCAAGCTGGGCCTGGGGCTAGAGCTCAGAGAGAATAGTCCCCTATATACGGAGGTGTCAGTTCAGTCCCCAGTAGTGCTAAAACAGTTGTTAACTGAACAATGAAAATATTTTTGTAGACCACACTAGGAAGACCAATACTTTGTAGAAAAAAGTAATTTAGTGAAAGTTAATTCAGCTTTTATTTCTATACATTTTTTTCACAGAGTTTTCCACTCTTTACTGTTCTTTTTTTTAATCACATATTCAGACTAAAAAAGTAAAATTACCAATGTCAGAAACATTTTAGAACAAAATAAATGCTCACTATGAAGGAGTAGGGAAATGGGTCATTTGCATAGTAGGATGATGCTACCTCCTCTTTCTCACATGGTGTCTCTACCTAAGGGATATTGTCTTGGGTTTTTTCAGAGATAGCATGAGTTTTAAATTTGTTCCAGGGAAACTATTATGGCA